AATTTTTATGAATTAAAAGTGAACTCTTCTTATCAGGTAAGCGTTGAAGCTACTTTGTTGGTGCCTCACCTTTTATGTTACTCTCTAATGTCACTTTTCTCTGTGCTCTGTACTTCTTAGGGCCTGAGCGGAATGGCTATCTTAAACCATTAAGGCAGCCTTGACAATGTTTTATGTTTTAAGCCTTTGTCTTCAAGTACACTTCTTCTTCCTCGCACAATGACTGTCTTACGTCTTAAGAGTACAAGACAGCCATTCTGCTCAGGCCCATACGTACACGGAAAGACCGGCTAAGGCAAAACTAACTAAAATGAAAATGTTGCGCCGTATAAACAGTAAGGGCATCTACATTGTTTTGCGTTGCAACGTTCGCTAAGTTTGCTGCACAAAACGCATATAGTTGTCTCCACTACTTATCATACCAACGTGCGTATGACAACCACAGATAAAGCTGTCCCAAATATTACCGTTTATTGGAGTTGTGCCAACCCTAATTAGACACGTGGCAACCATATCGGTCTCTCCGCGTGGCGATAAACTAAATGAAAATAACAGAAAACCCACAAACTCGAGAGTCGCGGCGAGACACGAATAAATTTCCGCGCGGCGTTGAGTCGCGTTACAGGCGGGTGCGCGGCAACGTAATTAAGACACGTCGAATTGTTCGTCGATAACGCGTCACGATACTTTCTTATGCGGCGACTGTTGTGAAGATTGTGTAGAGCACTTACGGGACTGCGACGTACAGCAATTTCGGATGCGGCTTCGCTCGCGAGAGCGTGGAAACGCATCCGCTGTGCCTCCTAAAGGGGGTCAACGGTAGCGTTACTCTCATGGTTCCCGAGTCCCTTCGCGCCAGTCTGGGAGCGACTTCGTGGGGTATAACGAGGGCGTACTCGTTCATCTTGAGAAACGTTTGAACGGCGCCGTTTCCCTACCGATATTTATAAGCCCCACATGTGCGCGCGTCGCAGCAGCATCCGACCCGGCGAGCAGATCTCCACCGACCGTTATTTATCTCCGATGGTTTGCGTCGAGTGCGTTTACATCGAGGTTGCGCAACGCGCGACTGTGTTTCCCGAGCCCTCCTGTTACCGAACCGTTTTTCTCGCTCCAGCTGGCCCGCCGTAGCGAAAGCCTGATCAGCGGCGGGTGAACGACATTATTGATCGGCAAATCAACTCGCGATGTTTACGCTCGCGATTACGCATCGAAAGTAATTACTCCGCCCTCATTAAAACTTGTGCAAATTGTCGTCGTTTATACGTCACTTCTAACTGGCCGATTTATACACAGACGATCTCCAGAAAATGCTTTTCGAACTTTCCCTGTAACGACTCGCAATTTACATCGGGTACATTATCATAAACGCGAGGAATATGACTCCCCGGGCGTGAAAAAGGACCCGCAAAACGCCCTTTCGGTCAGAGTGGTTCTTTACGATGTTATTTGTAGAAAAGACCATTACGGGGCGAGAGAATAATAGTCCACATTACGGCCCGCGTCGCAGAGAGCCGTGACGTAACACACATCGCGCAGTTTTACGTACAATTGTATTATCTGCGCCGTGAGATAACGTAGCCAAAGAGAATTTCGGTACTTCGTGCGACTCGACAATTTAGTGCTTCAGTCCTATTTGAGTTTCGCGAAAGCGTTGGCCATTGTTTACAAACTGCATAACCTGTTCTGTCGGGGGAACAGTTTTCATCCAGGTCACGCTTTCAATTTACCAGTTAATTGAGTGATCTTTTTTATTACATTTTGGAATAGAAACACCAGGAAAAAAAAGAGAGAAAGAGAGAGAGAGAGAGAGTCAAGACTAATGTACGTAACTACAAGTATTACGCAATTTTTATTCAACAAGATCGCTATGCTCTTCGGCGCGTAGGTCGAGCGAATAATTTTTAATTCCTTCAATTATCGAGGAAATATTGACACCTAACAGTCGCGACTGGATCGCGACGCTCTCCGCTGCGTTTCATTTTCTAGCCAATTTGAAATGTCTACAGCGATCTCGCAGACACGGCGGAGAGTTGGCGATACCAGCGTCTATTTGAAAAATTGTTTCCCCACCCTCCTGCGGTGCACCGAGAGCACCGAGAAGCCGCGGGAAGAAAGAGAGAGAGAGAGTAAACGGACACCTATATTGCCACGACATCCCCGCCGGGTAAACAGAGCGAGAAACGTCAAGATGGGAATGCATCATTCATGAAGCGGTGCAAGAGCATCGCGCAAGATGCGTCGGAGCCTTCACGGAATCCGTAAAGTTCTCCTAACGAGAACGTGCGACGTCTATATCTTTGAAACAGACGACAGTTTGTTATAACTTGACGTCTCGCTGGACGATTAATTGGAGCAACTTATAACTGAGTCCTCCGCTGGTCGATTTCCCGTAATAGTTGAGCGAAGGCTACACTGATAGCAGATTGTAAATGGATTTCCGAGAAGACGGAAATGTAATTGCGAACGTATTCCGCGAGAGCGATTTGAAGATTTGTATTTTGCTACAATTCCTTTTTGTTTAAACGTCACGTCGAGAGAAATGCTGTCTCACGTTAATTAAAAAAAAAACACAGCCTGATAACATTTGAAAGTCCCGGTTATCTCCATCCATCTCCGTGCAATATCTTATCGCGATGTTTTTTTATCTCTAATGCGACTAGTTCATTAGATAGATATTCTGATTTACTTTAATTGCCTCTCGAAAGGCACGAAGCGCGTTTGAAAGAGCAGAAAGGGGAAGAGGGTGGGAAAAACGAGTTAACTCGCGATGCGAACGATGCCGAGCACTTTTCTGGTTTCGCCGCGGTAATGGATCTGAAGTCACCTTTAACATGTTCTCTTGAAACTCGGGGATGAGATTTTCAGACGATCATTCCGCATTCGAAATGTTTTAGATTCTTGCTATTCCGCGACGATTAGAAAAATCTCGAAACAATTTTCGAGTACGTCGTCGTATTTCTACCAGGGTTGGCGAAATTCCACAATTTTTGGATAAAGTCCATGCAGTGGTAAAAACCGGCAAAAACTGGTCTTCTCTATTAAAAACGACAAGATAAGTAGAAAACTTTTAGAAAGCGCTGCAAAAAAAAGTATTGTTTCCCGCATAAACTGGAAATTAATATAAAATTTAGTATCCCCGAAATTCTCGTTTTAAAAACATGTATTTATTTCAATAAAACAATTTTTTAATTAAAAAATTTATTATATTGATTTCTTTTTAAAATAGAGATTAATATCTAATGAAAGACTATAAAAATAACTAATATCTATATAAATATATTTCAAGTATTAGTTATTTTTTTAATTTTTGTCAATTTATTCCATTGAATAAAGTCCGGGACGGTAAAAACTGGAATGTACCGTGGTTTTTTCCACCCCCTGGATTTTTCCAGCCAACCCTGATTTCGACGTACAATAAAGATGTTATTGTCGCGATATACGTATGTATTAAAATAAGAATAGTAAATAAATTAAAACGCACCAAGTCCTCCTCGAAGCTACTCCCAAAGTTACTGTACAGAGACGGAGCTGTTAGGAACATTGTTTTCCGCGAACAAAGAGCTCAGCCATTAACGCGACACGCTAATTAGCGTAATACAAAAGTTTGCGCTTGGGGCAACTAGATTAGTGCGCTCTTGATAAAATCGCGCACGACATGAGGAAAGATTGGAAAGGACGAGAAGAAAGTACGCAAATAGCACGCCGGGGAAATCCTTCGGTGCATTGTGCAAGCAATGAAAAGACACGCCCTGGCCAAAGTAAATTCGGAACGATGTTACGAAAATGGTGAAAAAAAATTGCTCGTGTCTTCAACGGATAAATGGCGCGGACATAAATTGAGACGGAATTGATTTGTATGAAAATTAATAGCGTTAAAATCGCGCAGGAACGATATTTCATTGGTACTTTGGCTTCCTCGTTCGCCATTCGGCGAAATCTCCAAGCTATCGTTTAAATCTGACTCATTCCGTTTAGCTTAACATACCCATGTAACGCTTTCTCTTCAAAACAGATTGCAGAAGTATATTTAAAATTTACAGAGAAAATGCGACGAGGATTTTTCTAAATTGGAGAAAGCAGGACGCGAGTTCCGTAGTCACAATCGCGAGAGAACGACCGGCGCGCGAAGTCAGCATCCTTTCTATTCACGGCGTGTTACGTTTCTCCTTAAAATTTTCTGTAATGTTTTCGGTTCGTATCGGGGCCACCGCTGTAACCTATTTATCGGGTCCAATTACGCGTACCCTGTGGATAAATTCATTACGGGTTTACGTGACGACGTCAAACTCAATGAAGTCCCAAATTCAATGGCAACCAGGTCCCTGGCGCGGATATCAATTAATAGACCGATATCAATCAATGACTACGGTGTAAAATCGATTTATCAGAATCAACGGCTACGACCAAGCGCCGTCGCTTGCGCGCGCCGCGCATTTATCACCATTTTTTCCAACATAATGCTAGGTCCAAATCCTATCAGAGATTCTCTCGCGAGTGTGGGAAAGCGTGGTACGCAAAAATCCGTATTTTTCGCCGAGCAAAATTGCTTATCCGCCGCGAAGCAGTAATAGTCGCAAAACAGGGCCGCGGAATCATTTCGAATGCTTTCCAATTGAAACATATAAGCAATCACATGGCCGATAATCTAGCCGATACGTGTCCGCGATACAGATGACAATTCGGTTACGACGGATGTTTGAATAGATACAGAAAACTAACGAAGCCGATGGAAGATGGGGAGCGCCCCGGATTGCTTTCGATAACGGGGGGAAAAAAAAGAAATTATTTTTCTCCGGCGCAAGCTATCAACGTTCGACCCCGCCGCGACAAATATGTTTCATTATTTCCTCGATACGTCTTGCCAACGCTGCTCTTTTTGCGGAGCGGGGATTAAATTTTCCAAGTTCCCTCTCGTACCGCTCGCGCTTAACATCGAATACATTCCCATGGTTTCCCCACGGAAGACATTAGACGTTGTACGGTGTACATGCACATACTCTTCCTCGCCGAAACTTTTAGACCGAGCGCATTTTCTGTCTTTCTTAAATAACAGCAATCCCGACGCGTCTGCACTCACGCGGCGCGATTGCGATCGGAGTATCGCGCGGTTCTCGCACTCGTTCCAAAGGCGCGCACCGGCTGGATTTATCTACCCTGCACTTGTGGTCTCGAGGTCCTCGCGGCAGGCACACCCCTCGCACACTCAACGACAGTCTGTCATTAGATCGTTGAAACGTTTCAGCTCTAATGCGCCCGGGTACCGGAGCACCAGCACACGTTCGCACGCGGCGCGAACGTGTCGTGGTCGCGAGTGGTCGCGCGCGCGCGCGCGAGAGCAAGAGAGAGAGAGCTCTACACCCCGGCTAATCACGGATTAACCGCCGGAATCGGACGGAATCGTTCCCGACGACTGTCGCGATGTCTCAAGGCCGCGGGGGAAACGTCAATATCAAACTCAGGCCGATCCTTACGTCGCGAAATGCGACCGACCTCGTCGGTCGCGTGCCGGACGCGAACTGACTCTTGCCATGCCGGCGTCTGTTGCTTATACCCAGTATAGCTGCGCGCATCACGCTCCGAAGTCTGCGATCGTTCCCGACGAACGGAATCGGTTCACCGCGTGCGTGTACGTACGTATGGTATGTGTGTGTGTGTATATATTTTTTATGTATATGTATACATTTGCGCTTCGCTTATCTAACGACGATAGGAGTCCCCTATCTCTCTCCCCTCACCTCGCATCTAAGGGATCCCTGTTTCCACTCTCGCCGAGGGATTCTACAAAGTCCGAAGTAAATATTCCCTTAGCGAAAATGCGATTAGACGCACGAACCTGATTTACCCTTTGTTATTTAATTAAAAATCTCTTTGCAGCTAATCCCCAAATTAAAATCCCGCTCCAAGCAACGCCCGCCATGGAGAGAGCCCCGGGGTTCGGATATTCGAGTAACCTTAATCGAATAATCAATTATCAATATGTCAAGGGAGATGAAATATGGAAGGAATTAAGGAGACTCAGCCTTGATATTATAAATAGAACCATTGTATATCTGCGTTATATTTCGTTGCTGTACGTTCTATAAAAGGTACGCAGGTGCAGAATTGCCGTTTTCTGCGAAGTTGCGAGATTCGCGCTGACCGATACGCCCCGTATAAGGCAACAATAAAGAGTATTGTAATATTACGCAAGCCTCGAATCGCGTAAACGTTTCCGTGAAACATGACAAAGCTTGGGTCGCGGGTCTTCGGCTCCCGCGCTTATTCGATTACGCGCTCAACAGGGACTTCCTCACACCACGAAAGCGCAAAGAGATTGCTGCGCAATAATTACGAAAAATCAGGCGTAATTTGTACGCGCGGGCGATAACGACCGCGATCCCCCTACGCTCCGTGGCGACGAAACAATGGAGACGACAGGGACATGACAGACAGAACAATTTCATTTGCGACTGTTATTTCAAATGAATAAACGATTGCTGTCGACCGTAGTCGGAAAAATAAAGAGATTATCAGATGGACAAAGGAATAATGCGGCGCACTCGCGATTATTCGGCCTGCTCGGGAATCGAACTGTATTATCGGATGAAACTTGACGTTAAAAAATTATCGTACCATACATTAATTACGCTGCGCTTCTCGCGCACTCTCGTGCCCCATAAAAATACTTTCCACGACAATGCAGTAATTATCAGCGCCACATCATTCTTTTAAATCGCAATTATCGCGACGCTATATCGACGGCGAATCATTTGAAACGCCGTGCTGAGAGCACAATCGCAAGAGAGCAATGCCATGAAAACTTAATAAATCGGAATTGATGACAACCCGATTTATATTTTATTGACGCAAATTGAAGGATCAATTGGATTGGAAGAACGAACAAGGCGAAGCTCGACGTTTATCGCGAGGAAAATCGACGCGTCACCTAATTGCACCTCGCGAAATATGATTGTCTCTAATTATTAATAAAATGTATTGCGCAATGTAATGCGTAAAAAAAAGAGCTCGTGAGTAAAAGTAATAGTAACGAGTCGATAATAATATCTTTATCCTGAAGATGGAAAATGCATACGCTTCGATAGAAGAATATTGAAACGGTTCGATCGAGGGGGAAACCGCTGACCAAAATCTTGTACACCAATGCCCACTAATGCCCAGTGAGCATTATTTTATCTTATTTCATCTTATGTTTATTTTGTGTTATTTTATTTTATCTTTACAATGCCCC